AATATTGGCAACGAATTACTTTAATTACTCGTTAGTTTTTCAAAATATAAGCATAATACAGTAACTTGAGCAATAAGAGCAGAGCATTCAGCAGCATAAAGAGAGCAAGTTCAACAAAATAGAAAACATCAGGAAGGGAGAATAGCCGAAAAGAAAACCTGTTTATCTATATGACTGGTCACTAGAACCGCTAGAAAAACGGGCAAGGCATGTACAAACATACGAAAGACAAATATCAAGCAAGATAGTGCCAACTAGGCTCTCTGTCGCCTTCCATCGTATTTTTCGTCTTCTCCCGGGCAGGCGAAAGCCCTTCGTGTTTGTTTTTGTCTTTTCCGCCGTTTCACCCTTTCCAACTTCTTCAACGTCTCCCGCCATCTGCATAGACATCGAACGCGGGTTTGTACCCCCTCGATTCGCGGGTTCACAACTCGTGTAAGAGACGACTTAGTCTGGCGTGAGGGGGTCGAATTCTGTTTGTCTTTGATGTGCGCTACTCTATTTTAGAACGCTCTTGAGGCACTGCTAAAAAGCGCCCGGCGCGAGGCTAAGAGCATCGTCTTCGAGGGTATGGACGACTCTTTTGGGTTACTTGACTGGGCATGGTGGTCGAGTCCACTCCTCACTTTACTGCCAACATAAAGGGGGGGGGGGGGGGGGGGCGGGGGTTAGTCCATATAAGGAGTGCTTACAGAGAGAGAGAGAGAGAGAGAACGAGTAAAAGTGGTGTGATCCTCTTTTGTTTTGTTAGTCGGACGGTCACCACTTCTCTGGCTTTCTATGCCCTGCCCTCACCTGGCCTCTACGAATATTGGTATGAAAGTGAGAACGGATGAACGGTCGATAACCCGTATCCGCCACTTTTTGCTTTGACTGGCAGAGTTTTCGGTCAAGGAGTGTCCGTCGTCTCCATGGCCATCTCTTAATGAGATGTTCTAAATTGAGGGCATTAAGGGGAACGGAGACCTAGAGTTTCAATGCATACCTTGCCTGCAAAAAAAAAAAAAACATTTATATCAGCAAGAACAAATTATAATCTACGGAAACATATCAAGGTGGGACACCTGTATTCTGCAGTGGCTTACATTGTAACGCTAGAACCATGTTTACCTTTTTTTTTGTGAATAACAGGCGAAACACCCGAGTCAAATGGGAGCTTTCGTAGATCGCTTCTTTAGCTCCTAATCTCGTAGTGGAGGTAGACGCCGCTACTGAGCATGCGCACCGCTAGCTTTGTCTGCTCAATTTCAGGGATCATTTCCGGAGGCTATAAGCTAGCGGGATGGTGGGTGCCGTTGCAGTTTTCGGTGCCTTGTTAGCTTACAGTTGAACGGAGTGCACTTACACTCTGTCTCTTAAAAACAATATTTTATTTTTTACAATGACTACCATAATACAAGCGTATGACAAATTAAAAGTAGTGTTGCACAACTTTTTTTTTAATATTGAAATTATTTCTATTGTTTTCTGAATAAGTGTACACAGAAAGTAACGTGAAAGTAATTTGTAACGTAACGAGTAAAGTAATCCGTTACTTTTCAGCGAAAGTAATTTGTAACGGTAAGCCCTTATGTTTGAAACTCGGTAATTTGGAATTGTAATCCATTGCATTTTTCAAGTAACGAGCACAACTCTGCTATTTCCTATTGCAGCTCATAGATCATTTTGGCTGTCAGCTCCTTACGGTTCTGGCCCGGCTCCTGTAATCGCCAACTACGGGTATTTTAGCCTTGGTATTTTGCGTTCTGCTGGTGATTTTTTCATAAAATAAATAAATAAATATTGCACAGTATTCATCTACAATTTTATCACTACAAAATATTTGTTGTACTAAAAAATTTAATGTAGAAAACGTTATTTGTAAAATTTCCCGTGACAAATATGTGGGAGCGTTGAGAACTCCGGCGCTGACAGCGCATGGGAGCTCTTGATTGTGGATACGGGTCATACATGGATATGGGAGACAAACTTTGAGATATATTCTTTTTTGCTTTAATATTACACCAACAGTAAATCGCACTCGTAACCTTCGACCCAAAGTTATGCGCTTATGCTTCTCCTATCGGTTGCATTATGCCGTCTAAAAATCGAATAAATCCGTAAGCGTTCAAATGTAACATCCTGTGGCCACAGCAGAATCTGCTTGCAGAGTCCATTTCTTGAAAGGAAGTGCGAGCCACCTCAGTGGCTCCGCCGGGCCAGAGCGCCGGCCTACGGATCCCCATGTGACGGGTTCGAATCCCGGCCGAGGTGCCCGCAATCTGACGGAGGCTTATTGCGGAGGAGGCGCCGTGTAACCGAGCTTTCGGTTGCACGTCATAAGATCCCCAGGTGGTCCAAATTAATCCTCAGTCCTCCGCTGGGGTGTTCCAGATGCCCGTCGTTGGCTTGGCAGGTAAAACCCCCAAATTTGATTTTTAAAAGGAAGTGTGCAAGGGCCGCCGACGTGCCGCCCATCGCCTGATTTCACAATGAAAAGCTTGCGTTCCGAGCTTGCCCAGGCCAGAGCTTGGCCTGCCTTGCGGACCGAGTGGACTATAGGGCGTTTAAGAGCACTATATCTATAGCTCCTACAGAGCGGAGTAAGGCAATTTTTTGATCCTCGTGTTTTGCCAACAACATTGCCGACAGATCAGCTCGGCGCGTGTCACGTGGTACTCAGGGTTCCAGGAGGCGCCCACCCTATTGGAGAACACTTGAAGATCGACGCAACACGGCTGATTAAAAATAACTGCAGAGTTCACACTTTTCGAAATTAGTTTGTCGTGAAGTTGGTAAAGCACCAAACACTTCATTAAAGGTTTTATTATATTGAATGCGTGTGAAAAGTTTGAGAAGGCGATTTCCAAGGCAATCGCGTTTGAAGCAGCCGATTGTTTTTCGCAGCGGAGATTGACTTATGGCTGCGTTCCAAATCTTACTGGCATGGGTCCGAGTAACTCCGGCGGATCATGTCGCGCGTCAAGACAGATAGAGCAACGCTGGACGCGGGTTGGTTTCCGAACGCCAAGGTACAGAACCTTTACCCTAGGGTGAGATCGAGTAAATTTTGGAACACGGCCTACGGGTTGCCCTGAGCGGGTCACGTGAACGGTGTGACGTCGCCGCGTTGTCTGCTGCAAGATGCCACTAAGGCAATTAAACAAAATACGTTTTTATATGGCACACAACTTAGCGCAAATTATTTTAAAGTGTTCCATTATTATGTAAAAAACTATTCTCGTTCTATACATCCCCAAAATATTGAAGCAACAACGATTTTCTTTCGTTCCCCATGCATTTGGGACCGGACTTGGAGCCCCCGGGCGTTCGCTGCTAGTCGCCGAGAGATGGCGTTCTAGATTGCGCTACTCTGCTTCGAAGGAGCTATAAGTGCTCTAAGGCGCATAGAGAGTCTCAAGTAAGAGTGTGTTCAACTGCCCGCCCGGGGTACGTGTTAAACGGCGCCATTACATTGCAAAATATTACTGTGGGTCTATGGGGCTATGGGTGGTTTTTCAACGTAACTCCGGTCATAAGCAGCCTTGGAGATCCCTGAATATTTTACGCAAATAACACAATAAGTCTTCTCTTCAGACACAAATTTGGTCCCATAGGATAAGTATTTTTTAAACACCAAAAAGCCTATAATCCAGCATCTCTAACGCCGCTATTAAATCGGAAACGCTCTCCACGGTTTGAGTTGATCTATAGACCTTTTCTGCAAGAGCGCCGCCATCTTGAATTGACGTCACTTCCGGTATGGGCGAAAACATTGTTTCGCCTTTGCCACGCCAATAGAAGGCATTTAGGATATAAGCGTAACCGTCACACTTTCTCGGTTTGCCTCCTTTTTATTTTTTTACTATTTGCAGGTTGAAACGTTGAAATATTTTTTCGTCGCCCATACCGGATACGCCTATTAGGTGATTGGGGACGAGAGTATACAGAAAAGGTCCATAGCCTCCTCTATACTCACAAAGCCTGGCAGTTCGACGACGGAGCTATAGAGTGCCCTGTCGCTGATTTGGAGCGCGAGGATCTGGTAGCAGAGAACATTTTTGGTATTCAGTGCGCAGCTTCTGCAGCGGTAAGGACCCTAAACATGGTTTTCAAACCAGACGAGAAAAGAAGTGGTAGCGCGAGGAACGCGAGGAGCACGACCGGACATTCCATCGCTCGGGAGAAGTTTCTTTCGGCGTCTCGCCGCAGCGGGGCGAACGTTACATGCCTCTCCTCTCTCTGCCGCTCTACCTTTTTACTTTCGGCGACCGCGTCTCGAGGCGATCTGCCAAGCTTTGTCTGTATAGAGGAGGGTATGGCTGAACGCACTCTAACTTGAGGCTCTCTAAGGGCGGGCTGCGACGACAGCGCCCCCACGCTCGCACGAACAGAGGGGGCCGGCTTTCCGAAGCACGGATAATGAGGAGCTCGTCAACTGTGCCGATCAAGTAACCATCTATGAATCCCAGTGTCAGGTAGCCGGGCTCAAGTCTGATAAGGTCGGAGGACGGTGGCATTTATTAAAAAGTTGCAAATCTGACTTTATCAAAACAATAAATAAATCGACGAAGTAATAAATGTTAATCCCTGGTGCAAAATATGTACCCGTGTTATAAAAAAAGAAAAAATAACGAAAGCAGCGTTTAGTACTTTAATTGCATAAAACAATGTAATCTTATTCTTTAAAACGATTCGGGTCATGCCGTATGATTCTCTTCAAATATTTTGAAGACACGCCTATCAAGAAAGAAATAAAGATGAAGTACATTGTCGATGGGATGTTCCAGTATGCTTCCTAGCTATAAGCTGTATTTCGTGTTTTCGTTGCTGTACCGATATTACATTACACTCATCACACAACTGACGGATCAGCGTGTTAATGGAAGTCGGGGAAAGGTAAACGGAGAACGAACACGTAAACGAAACGAGCATATCTTTCATGCGTTGTGTCATCCTTTGTTTCACCTTTTTCTCTCTTTTGGCATAGCTGCTGTGTGCTTTTCTTTTTCCGCACTTACTTACAACTGCGGAGGCGCCGAGGCCGAAGGTGACCCTATATTTCCTGATTGCCCCCCTTGTAAGGCAGGTTCGCCATTCTCCTGCCCGGGCATCGAGGGCTGGGCGTCACCCCTCGGAGCTCCGGGTTCCACGTCAGCCGCCTGAGACGCAAGACCCGGCACTGGCGCGTTCAAGTCGTGGGCACCCTTGCTGTCCTTGTTCGCTTCCTCGAGCTCCTCTTTCTTGGCGTCTTCTTTTTGGTTGTCTCCTTGCATCTGCTGGAGTACCACCCCTGGATTCTTGACATCCTCTCCGTTACCTCGCTTTGTTTCCACGTCTCTCTCTTTCTTCCCCTTTCTCCTCTGCATTTTGTTTTCCCGTTTCTCGTTCTTTCTGCTCTTCCCTCGGTCCATGTCGGACTCGAACTCCTCACGTTGCCTGCCGCCCGAACCGTCGGGTCCGAACCGTTCCAGCAGCATAATGAGGCGCGCGAAATCCTGACTCGGCGAAAGCGGCTGCGCGGGAGGAGGCGGGGGAGGGTACGAATACTGGACGGGCGCCGGAGGACAGGCGATGATCGTGGGTGCCTGCGGAGGCGGCGGTGGCATGGGTAACGGCATCGGGACAGGGACCGGCATGAAGACGGTATTAGACCCTAGTTGCGAGGGGACGTTGAAGGGGTGCGGATGTAGTTGAGGGGGAGGAGGTGACGGGTAAGGAGGGAAGAGTACTCCGGGAGGAAGTGGGAATGGTTCGGTGGCGACCAGAGGGGGCATGCCTGGGATGTTGACCTGCGTTCCTGGTGGGAAGGGAGGGGTGCCCGGGGGAAGGGTGGGAAGGAGGTACGGGAAGAAGGCTCGTTCACCTGAGCTTCTGGAAGATTGGGAGTGTGCCGAACCGACGGGGTCGTTAGGCGGCGGAGGAGGTCTGTCCTTTGATGACTTTGAGGGAGTCGGTTTTCGGGGCTGTGGGGCTTTTTCCGGCATGGGCGATGGCTCGAACGAGGAGTACGACAGTGACGCAAGGTTCACTGGATGGCTGCTGTAGGGATCAGCACGAGTTTGAAAAAAGCACTGTGTGAAGGAACGTAATCATTTGCGATAGGTGTGCGTCAATTTCGAAAATGAATCGAGTGATAAAGGTGTTCGTTACATCATAGCGTTAGTAATTTTCAATACGCAATAAATATTTTCAGTGAGCAATTGATGTGTTAATTGGAACCAAACTATGCTTAGTTTGGTTCCAATTAGTTTGGACGACGACGACGACGATGCCAGGAAGCTACACCGGGTGACCGGGGCGCTATGTTCTAGCCCTGGACGTCAATGCATCGGAAGTGGCAGCCCTCTAATTTGACTGGGCCACCACCTGGAGCCGCTCCCTTCAACGAAGCGAGCGAACGCACCATCAACCGCCAGGGCTTTACCATCCAGAACGTCCATTGAACAGCCTACCGAGGGTCACCTTGGCTCGCTTGCCTACTGGCCTGAACCGCCGCCGAACCTCCAAGACTCGTGCGGCGGATCAGAAGAGCGCGTCGTCCTGAACAACATCAAACCGCCAAGGCTTTCCCAGCCGCGCGGTGAAGCCTCCGGACAACACCCTTTGCCCAAGCACTACTTACAGCTGGTAGAAGTGTCTTGGCAAACCCCGAACCTTCAAGCAAAGGTGCTTGCGATGTTGAGAAGACCGCGTCGGTGCTCCCCCCCCCCCCCCCTCACCCCCCCCCCCCCTTGTATATATCATCTCATAATCATCATCACTAGACGTGGCACCGCGGGCCTCCATGGTACGGGCTCTCGCCTTTCCGCGGTGCCACGGCTCCCTGAACCAATAAAGATTACGATTACGATTACGATTATGCTTAGCTTTTTCACCATTAGCACTGACAGTTTCTAAAACTATTTTTGCGACATATGTGTTCCACAAAACGTTCTGTCATGAGAAATATCTGAATTATCTTGTATCACACTCCAAGTGAGTTATTTGAACGGCGGTTACGCCTTACCCCATTTCTTTATCTCATGTCCAAAAATCAATCACCAAAGTCAGACCAGCAAATGTGACTCACGTTGCGAAGGGTCGTCCAAACTCCGCAACACAAATACGCGGTTTCGATGTTTGGTGGCTCAATGCTGCTCAGTGGCAGCGGTGGCAGCAGGAACTCTGATGCCTGCAACGACTGCAAGGAACGTTAATCACGAGTCTGAAGCGCGAGCTCGGCGCTAATTTTATCTCCTTCGAATCGATCTATACACCTTTTCATAAAGGCGTTTGAGGGGACAACCTTTTTCGGGGGACAACTTTTCTTGGCAATGAAGACCAAGAAGTCATACCAAAGCTATGGGTCCCCGTGCGCTCGTCGACATTGAGGGCCCATCACAGCTGTGCTCGCGCGGTCTTCGCTTCTTTGGATATGTCAGGAAAACGTTGTCCCCGAGTCCAAAAAAAAGTGCTTCTTTCCGGTTCTATTTTGAATGTTCGTGCGTATGGCGCGTGATTTGCTCGCTTTCCAAAGCGACGAACATGCGCGTGCTGGGCTGAGGAGATCGCACGCTGGGTTCAGGACTCGTAAATACCGGAATGATGTACAGTAATCTAGTGCCGTGCAAAGCGTCTTGCGAACTCCTTAAACACAGTTTCGGTATCGATTTGCCAACGCCACTGCACGACATCCCGTCACGACCGCACACGATGCTTGCATTTTCGAATGTGTGAATTTCCTTAAATTTATATTAGTGTAGGGGCTGCGATCCAGTAAATTAGCTGGCGCACGTGCTTTTTTGTTTTATTTTATTGGGGGAAAAGGGGGGGGGGGGGTTTGACGTGTCAGAGTTTGTGTGCATCTTATTAGGACTATGAAGACACACGGGAGATGGGCCGGTTATCTTGTTTCACCTTTTGTGACGTCATTTGTGTCCCTTTCGGAATCCCTTTCAATGCATGGGCGGAATAGGACGCTAAACACACTGGGAGATGCGTACCAGGCTGCAGGCTCTGCCAAGCAGCGTCCTTGTGTACACCATTTCAATGTTTCCAAATCTACAGTCTAGCGTGCCATTTCTACTGCCCAAGCAGACAAGCGGTCGAGGCTTCGGAAAGCGAGAAATGCGTCCGCCTCACGCACGAACGCTGAAGATGGCCTCGGCCAGAAACCCGTTTCTGGAATGGTCTATAAGTGGGTGACACCTCGGTTGTGCGAAAATGCAAAGGTTTCCACTCTTGTTCTTTATCACGTGGAACTCAAAGCTAGTACCACTATATGCCACGAAGAACATTTTCTCTGCACCCGTTTTCACCTTGAAAACCGTAGTAAAAAAAGTACGGCACGTCGCGAAGCATTACTAATTTGCCCTGTTAGGTTGATAATTAAGATCTATGTAGATGAATCTTAGATTATATATATGCTATCTTATCAACACGTACACGTTCCAAACGCCCAATACCATCGCTTTTTCCTTTGACAACCAAATCTCGTAAGAACTACTTCACGCCGCGTATGAACAATGCGCAAAACTTGCCTTTTTCTTGAAGTGAAAACGGGTCTAGATGTTGACTCGGAGCAGCTTCCAGTGAATTTTCACCAACCTATGGTGCATCCTTGAATTGAACATTTCCCGGGGAGGGTGCCGGTAAAATATTTTTACATTTACCTCGTGTGCGACTTGGCGATCGAAGAGCGCCATATGAGATTTATTTCCTCGTATAAAAAAATAATCCATAAACTTTGAAACTTGAAGTGTATTACTTTAACGAGTATTATCATGGTATTACTTTAGCGAGTCAAAACGTGGGTCAGGTGGTCAGGTAAAGGTAATACTGAGACGGTGACCGAAACTTCCACCTTGATAAGCACTGCAACGTCAGTGACAAACTTCGTAAATAAAACAGCAGTGCACTGCTGTGTTATACAGTTTTGCGACGGCGGGAAGACTGACCCCGTTTAATTACGCGTTCTTGTGTTCGCCGATGTATTTGTTTTTACGTTCTTGATGTTATTATGCATTTACTTCTTCTACGTATCTTATTGAATTTACACTCTACTTGCTGAAGAATAATTTTTATCAATATAAAATACTTAATTTGCAAACATATATTTTTTCTTCTAGATGTGTTAGAATCACGGTAAATCCAAGGCCATCCCTCGAATGACAGGCACATTATTCCCACCCCGCGAGCTTACACTCGGCTCAAACATTTGAGACAGGTTTGTCCCGAGAGATAGGTTTTGTGAAGATGCTTCAGTTCCAGTTCGAGCTACTGGCATCGACACGAACGCGACACTCTTATTTGCATCCCAGAGAAACGGCGACCTGTAGCGTTGTTTCGCCATACGCACGAAAGATGCACCCTTCCGAGTGATTCTGAGCACGGCTTCCAGGTCCGTTACGACGGCCTGATGAACGACCTGTCCCGGCTTGGGCGCTATCTGTCGCTCTGTCTGGTTCACCGCCACTCGCCTCCGAGCAATCTTGTCCATAGCAGCGATGACGACCGTCTTGAAGATTCCCGGCCTGTGTGTGGTGAGATTCGAATCGCGCCGATGGTGTCCGGTAAATAGCACGTCTACGCTGGACAGGACGGCTACCAGAGCCAGCAGGGCGAGGCCGAGGAGCATTCCTGCGACGCTGCTCAAGAGCTTCTTCCATAGCGGTGTTGTGTAGTGTCTGCGAATCAGCAGATAACTGGGGCCGTCGGCCTCGTCCATTGGGTTCATTCTTCTTCTTTTACTTCAACTTTTCTTTAAATAATACCGTGCGCGCACGCACACACACACACACGCACACACAAAATCTCCTCTGTTTGTGAAAATTTTCATAACGTGTGTCTACTTTGACGCCTTTTGACCGCCAGGCGCGGTGAAAATCTGATTCACTCGAGAAAGCTGACGCACTTGTTATGCACTTGTTATGACCGATTTCCTTTCTAGCCGTTAGCAGCCGTCGACTTCACAGATGTCGCTAGAGCCACTAAATGAGCTGCGCTTAGAGTAATAGTGTGGTAGTAGTATAAAACATTTATTTGAACCGCTTTAAGGGAGAGGGGAGGGGAATGAATCAATGGCATCGCGGCCTGGACTCGCGGAAGGGGGGAAGAGAATTATATATGGTACTTTTATGCCAGCTTCGTGGATATAATCCAGAAGCGTGCGTAGAGTCTGGTATTGCTTATCTGGAAGGCCTATGGGAAAGACCCAGTCCTCCATGGATGTCACCCCGTCCTCTAGGTGCTTTTTCCTTGTTGCCTCAAGGCCTTTGCAGCCCCATAACAGGTGAATTAGGTCGACCGCATGTTGGGGGTCCTTGCAGTTGCAGCATGTCGCTGGTGTGCGCGCCTTTTCCCACGTTGCTCTTCTGTTCGGAGTGCAGGCGGTATTGGTTCTAATCCGCCTTAAAGGGTAACTGCAAAGAAAAAAAAGTTTTTTTTTTAAACAGCCTAATTGGGACAAGCATGTCACAAAACAAATGTTCCGCGAAAAAAATGATTTTTTTTATCAATATTTACGCCACAGGACGTAATTTAGTAGAGTCAGAACCTCTCCACATTTGAAACTCCCGCTCTTTCGACTCCCGCGGGAGAGGAGTACGCCCCGCCCCTCACTCTCCTTGCGTTGCGGAGTTGAACGACGCAGCGTCTCGACTTCCGGCAAGATCTGGCAACTACGCCAGGCCGCGGTATTGTCAGTATTGTTTTGGTTTGACGCGGCTTGCGAGCACATGTAGCGAAGACGTGACCGGAGAAGTGCCCCTGTGATGTTCCCGGAAGACGGAAAGTA